ATGTGATAGATTGATCTGTCCATCAGGAGGTAGGTAGGTAGATTGACAGGTCAAGAGGTAGGTAGCTAAGTATGTATTTTAATGGATATAATGATTCTGGAGATTTTTTAGGATTTTTAAGATTCTTTAATAGGAGAAAGATGAAATGTTTGACCAGAAAAGAAAGCAAAAAAAAAACAATTAGTTTTCTGGAGGAGGAATTACACATTCAGCAAACCCTTGTTAGCCATGGGAAGCAGATATATCAAATTGTGCATTTTTAAATGATTGTAAGTTCTTCTTTTCTGAAAAACATGTTTAGATAACATTTAAAGTGTGTGTGTGTGTGTGTGTGTGTGTGTGTGTCTAAGTATCTTACAAACAGTCTCTGTGTAAATTCCGTTCTTCAGTTGCTCCTTCTAGTGTTCCTTCCTGAGGGTCACATAGGTGTCAGGCTAGGAGAAGGGACAGGTTGCAACTGGCTCGTTGGCCATGGTGACTGCACTCAGTGCTTTCCACCTCCCTGCCCGCGTGTCCAGATGATGTGGAAGTAAAATCAAGAAACAGGAAGGAAAACAGAGTCGTGCTCACAGATGCTTCAGAGAAGACGCTTGGTTTTTCTCCCTTAATTTTTTGGCTGCTTCTGCTCAAATTCAAGTATCTTCATGGATTTCCAAAACCGAGCTTACTGTGCATGTGTCAGCTGGAAGTCGCCTGCGGCGTCCGTGGGCCGAGCGGCGCTTCTCCGTAAGAACAGGAGCGGAAGCCCTGGCGCCACAAGCGCCAGTGAGCCCGAAGCGCCCGCATGGCAGTTCAGCCAAACTTCATTCCATCTATTTCTAGGAGCTTTGTTCACACCTTCTTTGGCAAAGGAAAAGTGACTGAAAACACACCCAAGCACAGAATGGGAACTACATGTGGAAATACTGAGACTTTGCAATAAAGGAAAGCAATTCAAAAAGATGATTTCATTACTTAAAAGCTAATATCCAAGGAGATGTGAGAATCTAATAATGTGGAATTATACAATTGATCGATTGCTGTTTTTATAATGTTCGTTAAGAAGCATAGAAAGAAAAAATATACGTAATTTTACTTGACGGGTATATCCATGCTAGTTGATGTTAGTTGGCTAGTTATCACATTCGTGCAGAGATCAGTCTGAAATGGAACTGTGGCTGACGATGGTGGTCATCTTGGCTGAATGAGAGCCTTGATAAAGATCACGCTCATTTAGAACACCTCCTGAGGTGTTTCTGAGGTATATAAGCAGCACAATTTTTTGCTATCATTTTTGTAAGCTTCCCCCTTGGTTGATTTGGATGTGGACAGCAAATGTTTTTGAGTTATCTACTTAATGGAGCCCCTTTTGAAAAATGAATCATTTTTCCACCATCCAGGGAGTTTCTTCACATTCTGACTCTTAAAGAAAGGCATCGGGAAGTCTGGCTTCATCTCTCCAGGCCTCCCTCCTCATTGGGAAAGTGAGGTGTTTGAGTTAATTATCTCCCTAGTCTCCCCCAGTTCTAAAGGTGATTCTGGCAACTTGCTGGTGTACTTTGAGATACTGGAACAGTATTTGAGAGAGCATCTCAAACCACGATGAAAGAAGTGTTCATCGTATCCCTATGGAATTACAGAACAAAACTTGTGAACAGTTGCTGCTCATTACAGCTGATAGGCTATAAATGGTTGTTGACACTCAGACCAGATGCCATGGAAAATCCTGCATCATGACAAAGCAATGGGGTGGGGAAGGAACCCGTGTGTGAGACTGTCAGGAGAATCTATTTAGAAAGTGATTGCATTCAGAGAATGCAGGAATCATCTCTATATCAAGATTAATTGAATTGGTTGCATTAAATTTAGGAGTACAGATATTTTTCCCAAGCTATGAACATGCATCACAGATATTAAATGTTCTTTACATTGAAAAAGCCAGCGGCCTAGCAGTGTAATAGGCAATGCTAAAGTGCATCCTGTCTCTTAGAGAGGGCAGAGCACCTGGGATAAAATCCAGTGTGAGTTCATAGTTTCATATATACCCTTACAAGACGTAATTTGTACTTGTAAAGTTCATTTGAGAAGCTAACTCATTGGCTGAAAGAACCTCTGAGTTGCCCTCACCTGCAAAGGCCATCACAACAGACTTTGCATGTACATGCATCTCTTGACCCTCTTGCTAGATGGACACGCATGTCGTGGTCCCGTGTTTAGCTGCAGCTGCATTGGGAAAGCTGTTTCTGATGTTGCCCTCCTTGTTTGCTTTAGAAAATCAAAATAAGGAATAGTAGCAGATGAGAATGTAGTGGCGATCCTTTTGGGGGAAGCAGCTGTAGCTGAGTAACTATTTCCACTTTTGTGGAATGTAACTACATATTATCTCCCTTTCTGTAGAAATTCAGAACCTGAGCTAACGTAGTCACCCACAAACTTTGGTAGCATGGTTTATTGTTAAGTTGGAGGCTCTGTGGATGGTAAAATGTGCTGACAGTTTTATTCAAACTGATTTATTCCAAAGAGTTGTATGCGAATCGCATGTGTGTGATAGTTTCAATGTCTCATTGAAGCTGGCCATCAGAAGTGATTTTTGGATTTTGTAAAGCAGGTCTTCCTTTAATGAAGTCATTGATCTTCCTGATTTTTCAGTCTATACTGCAGAGTTCTCTAGTTTAAGTTTGCCTAAAAGATATACAGAAACATGAAGCCACTTCCATGGTATAATTTGGTAAATCTGTACAGTAACCTCAGCGTAGTCCTGCCTTTTCTTGTACATAACTGCAGCTGAACAGTCTTCGTTGGTATAAATAAAGTGAACACCGAGCCAGATGGAGTTACTATTTTCCTGAGTGACTCTCAAAGGCCCTGCACAGAGGTTTTCCTAGCTCTCGCTAGGTGTGAATACCTTGTCGTTCAGAGGCATGTGTGATTAATGTCCAAGGCATGCCATCTCTTCTCAGCTGGTGGATCCCTGTGCTTAAGGGCACAGTTCCACAGCATGGCCCAGAGCTTTTCGATTGAATGGTAAGAATAAAACCACGTAAAACTTTTTTAAAAGTTTCCCCACCAGTGCCACTGAGATTTGCTCAACAAACTTCAATACCACTTGATTTGAAAGACCTAAAATTTCTGTGATTTCTAACGTGACTGGACTCTTTCTTTGTATGAGTCTGTGGTTGACAAATTAGGGCAGATGTATCTCAACAGAGAGCTCTCAGTGCCTTTAAATGTAAAGGTCTCAGAGAAACAAGTGATTATTTACAGTTTGATGTGGTTTTCCCAAGTTATTTAGTGTATAAGTAGCTGGAAATTACTTTTCATTAAATTAGAAAATGTATGCATGTAGGAGACTGTCAATTTTAGTTATAAAAAACAAACGTCAGATGTGGCTAGAGTTTATTGATAGATAATAGAGTTCCAAGAAATCTCGAATATTGGGACTTCGTAAAAGTAATTTCAGCATGGAGATCTTTCATATTCTTGAGACATCGTCATCCCATTCAGATTAAATATCATGTAATTAGTGTTGAGGTAATTCAAAATCCTACCAACCCTAAAAGCATCACAAAGGTTTTCTTTCCATTACCGATTGTCATATTAGGGGTGGATCTGATGGCAGTGCACAGCAATAGCCTGAAGAAGCCTGGTCCTCGATGAAGACTTACTTGCCTACACTCTTACTCTTGCAGACTTCACCTAATCTCTTCCAAGTGATGAGTCTTTGCTAACTTGCATGGCTGGCTTACTCCATGAGTAATTGGTTTAGGCTGTGTTTGTACAAGGTCAAAACAACCAACAAAGTCGACTAGCTCATTCTGAAAGAAAGTTGCCAATTTCATGGGGAAAATGTGAAAATAATGGTTAATATAAATGCAAAACGCATCCGATTGACTTCGATTTTTCAGTTCATTGTTTTGGCCCTTGTAGAGCACCTTGTTCCCCAACCTTCTCTGGTCTGAGACGCAACGGAAGCTTGCTGGGTGCTAGCTTAGCTGATGGTAAGGGAGCACTGAGCCCCGATCAGCCTGACCACGTGTCTGTCCATATCTGGATGACAGACTTCAGTGTATGCATTCACCCGTCCTCTTTTCCTGACCCTTTTCTCCTTAAGATGTAGGGAGCGAGTCCAGGGAAATGCAAGACTTTGCCCTGATGCTTATTTTCAAAGCACCGATGTGTCTCAGCCTCCTGGTTGGGAAACAGTGACATAAACACAGCCTTATTCCAAGAACGAGCTATTGGTCCTTGAAGAATAAGTACCCAAGAAAATAGAAACGTGTCTTTCTCCTAGTATTCTGAGATGTGAAGATAAATATATAAGTAATGCTTTGAATCACACTTTGAAGACATGTAAATTATATCATAAAAGAACTGGCTTATAAAGAAAAGCTAACTATAACATTTGGCAAATAGCAGTAGACTCTTTCTGCCTTTAAGAATAAACAGATTCTTAAAGGCAGCAATTTTAATCCATAATTCAGAGTAAGATTCCAAAATTTGTACCAAAATTGTTTGGAAACATTGAGGAATGAAAATCACTACATTTGGGTCCAAACTCTTGAAGTCAACTAGGATTCAGTTTGCACAGTTTCGTTTGCCAGATGTCTGTAGATTGGTCCAACTCCTCTTATCATTTTGCCAAGTTTCCTTCTGCTGAAATGTCTGTGCTCTGTTGGGCATCTAAACTGCTGCCTGTGGCCGAGGCTGGACCCCAAGCACCCCTGGAAGCATGTGGGCAGGTCAAGACAGGTGCCCCCATTCATTCGGTCTCCCCGCAAGTGCATTCTCTCCAGCCCACTAGCTCAGTACGTGTATGCACCTGTCTGAAGCCTGCGCACATGGCCGTTTGTAACCACGTTCTAACCACGTTTGCCCGGGGTTTAGGAATGACAGTCTGCGGGACCAAGGACGATGCATGACTTTCTTCCCTCCTCGTCTTAGAAAATGTTGTTCGTTTTGCATAGTCACTTAAAAAGAGGTTCTCACTTCAGTCTCCTTTTTTTTTTCCTTCCTAAATAAAGCCTGAGAATTTGCTTTTAGCTAGCAAGTCCAAGGGAGCAGCTGTGAAGCTGGCCGACTTCGGCTTGGCCATCGAAGTGCAAGGAGACCAGCAGGCGTGGTTTGGTGAGTAGCGTGTCTCCTGCAGGAGCGCGTGTTCCCCCTGGGGCCGGTCTGCCCGCTCCCCCCCCAACCCAGCTCTGCCCACTCCCCCCCCAACCCAGCTCTGCCCACCGTCCGCCGCCGAGCAATGGGGAGATTCCAGATAACAGTGTGTGACTCGTTTGAGACGCTGGTTCTCTATAAACAGCAACTGGGCTGAGGTTAAAGGGCATAGAATCTGGAAATAACTGAAGGAAAACGAAGGTAGGGGAGCACTCACACGTGGACGCCTTCCCCCTCGAGGGATGGGTGAGAAACTGCCTGTTCTAAGACTCACAGGAGGGTGTGAGCTATTCACCGGTACTTACATTTTGAGAGAGATTTGTGGGTTCACATGCGGCCTTAGTGCCCAAACTGCCCGGTGAGGAGCAGGTGCTCAGGAAGCATCTCACCCAAGATTTTGCCTATTTTGCAATGAGGAAATTAAAGTCTGGAAAAAGCACCGTGAAGTATGTTTGTGTCCGTATATGGTTTGCCTGTCCCTCCAGAGGGCCAGTTTCCTCTCTAAATTGTCATATTTCTACCTGAAGACATTGTTCTCTCGCAGTGCGGACATTAAGCAAATGTCAAGTGAAGTGTCTCTGCGCCGCCTTGGGGCCCGTGTCCCGGTCGGCCGGAATCGGCTCTTTCGCCCGCTAATGTTCTGAGGTGTTTCTTGCTCGCATTCCCCGGTCTTACCCCATTTCTTACATCGCGTCCCAAGACATAACCTTCCTCTCCCCACCATGCCTCTCTCTAATTTCTTCCCTGGGTTTCAGTGTGTTGAGATTCGGTCATTTAAAAAAAATCTCCTTCCCTTCTTAGCGTGTTTTCCTCTGAGCAGCAGCAGCAGGAGGTGCAGGGGGCTCCCTCCCTCCGGCTCACATGCAGGCCTCTCTCAGGCCCTGCACGCGCCTGTCTCCTGCGTGCACGCGGCGCTCTGAGGAGTCACTGGCTCCCTCTGCCCTCCAGCTAGGTCAGGGGAGTGGGTGCATGGCAGGTGCACCCCCCCATCCCCGGGCCAGCGTGTCATTCAGGCTCTCGTTCTGCTGCCTGCTCTGTTCCCTGTTTCAGAACTGGGTGTGTCCGTGTGTGTGTGTGCGCGCGCGCGCCTCCCACGCTTCACACTGCCTTTGCATGAGCTTCCCCCCGCCCCCCCATGGACTGAGCACTCTGAAACTTGGCCTTGGGTTGGACCTACCGTTTAACCTGCGACTAAGCCTCTTTCTGGTCACTGCAAACCAAAACCCAGGGCCCAGCGCGAGGTCCGCAAGTTGAGATTCAGAGCCATCATTGTATCTAGGGGAAAAAGCATGGTCGATACAGATGAAAACTAAGAACAGGACTCGGCAGCCAACAGGAAGCAGCGAGGCTGCTGCAGAGGCGGCAGAGCAAGTTGCCTGGGATGCAGAAATGATGTAGGCGACCCCGCCTGGGGGTGCCCGCGCGCTGTGCCGGGCGAGTGAGAGTCTGCCTCTGGGGGTGACTCGGGGGTGGGGACACACTTCCACCCCCATCATGGGGGTTTGCTCGCTGGCACATGAGGACCTGGGGCGTTCCAGACAGGGGGTGCGTGCCAGATCGCAGCGCCTGGCGCTGTGTTTCCTCCTCCGGGAGTAACAAAGTTTACAGCAGAGGGATCGGTTCACACCTGAGGTAAAAAGTGTATTGGGGACACGGGTAGGTCACGAGTTAGGAAAGGATTCTGTCCTTTAGAAGGGCTGGCCTGGAGTCGAGAACCCACAGTTGCGTGGGCTTGGCGCGGAGGAGCATGGCCTCCGGAGAGGCCCCCCAGCCTCGGAGCCGGCCCCACTCCCCACTGGTGCTGCGCCTCCAATTCTGCATGAAGGCGGGGCTGGGGGGGCAGACCAGCTCCGGAGAGCTCACGGAGCGGACGGGGTCCGAGCTCAGGAGACGCTGTGTAAGGACAGCACAGCCCAGAGGTGGGCTGTAGAAATAGGCGTGCAGCCCTGTCCAGAGGAAGGCGGGCCCCCACTTGCAGGAGGCGGGCCGCGAGGCAGTTGGGCTGCTCTGGGGTTGCCCACAACGCGCATAAGGTGATGAGTGGGTCTCAGGAGGAAGACGAGGCTCGTGGAATCCGCACCCGCCCTGGGCTGGGTGCTCACGCGGGCATGGCCTGGCCTCGTCCAGCTGCTCCCGAGTGCAGCAGTGCGGGCCAGCGGCGCTGCAGGGCCGCAGCTGCTTGGGGGGGGTGGGTTGTGTGCAGTGGGGACAAAATTCTGTTTTTTGAATCAGAATAATGGAGTTTATTCTTAATAACGGGTTCTGATTCTTAAGTGCCAGGTGACCCTGGCCAGGCCCCTTGCATCTGGCAAGATCGGTGTCTGTTTTTACACGACGAGCACCCCGCAGGGCTTCTTGAGACTAAACTGAACGTGGGGACACACCCACGCTGTAAACACACCACAGACGTGTCCTTTGGAAGCTCAGGGAATCAGGGAAAGACCGAATGTCAGGTGAGTGGAAGCAGTATTAATTATCCCAACTTAAAAAAAAATAAAAAACACATACACAAAAATTCCAGTGGTGGTAATTCATCACTAGGAGCAAGCTGGTCCTACAGAAACAGTGATCGGCGGGGACTAAGCATCCCTTCTCAGAATACGCTGTCAGCAGGTCAGCTCTTGTTATGGCAGATGCTGAATAATGACTTAGAAGAGGTGCATGTTAATTTCTCAGAAAATTCACATTTGGATATGTAGAAAGATGATTTTCAAGCTTAAGAGAATTCACATATCCCCCTTTATTTTTGGCCTATTGTGCTCTATTTCAACTGAAGCCTCACTGTAACTAGCCGAGGGGGACAAGAGACAGGGGTGCTGCCATTCTTTTGGGTGGACCACCAGAAATATTTTAGAGTTTAGAAGAGAAAGCATGTCTTCATATGAGTGAGTGGGCTTGCTTTTTATTCAGTATTGCCTGGCATCAGAGTCTGGTGCACTTGGCTGATTAATTTTATCTTTTAAAATGTAGTATCCGTGTTTAGGGGGTGAGGTGGAAGCCTTATCATTTTAACAAGAAAAGAGCTGAATTTTTATGAAGTGTAATGCCACAGTTTGGGTATTTGCATAATTTTATTTTAATACATGTAAGAGATCTGTTAAGAATCAGAAAAAAGAAAACTAAGACATTGTAAAAGTTGGTTATTACGTGTGGCATTTTTTTTAATGCTCATCTCAAGCCCACATTTATTTTTCCCACGTGCTCTTGCTCTGTCTTCGTAACCCAACCTATGTGAATATTGGCCAGAAATGCTGTTCATCCCTGGGTCCTCCCTACACTTAACGTGACATTTCCACTTTTTTGGTGCTGCTAGAAAAATAGACACATAACATAGTCTTGCTTAATGGCATAATTATTGTGCTTGGTTATTGTTACGTCTTCTTAACTATTAAGACTTTTTTGATGGCGTTACAGTGCAGTGGATACATTTATAATAGTAATTCTGCTTTCTCTTTGTTTCATCTGTTCTGTACTCCTCATGGTTTCTCAGTGTGGGAAGCCGGTGCCATCTGTGCAGAAGGCCAGCTCTCGTGATGTCCCTGGGGATAGCTTCTGCCATGCTGAGGAGGCTTGGAGGAGTTTACTCTCCTGGTGCTGGCCTTACCTGTTTGGCCCTCAGTACTTGCTGGCCCATATGCTGTCTGCTAGCACTCATGCATGTAGACGCAGGCTTCATTATTCTTAGGTGTACAGACCCCCTTGGGTGCTCAGGGGGTAGTTGTACTAAATAAGAATGACTGCGAAGGTGTTCTTGTAGCATGTAAGTCTCCAGGAAAGGTGTGTAATAGTTTAGGTATAAAATTATCTTTGTTTTATACTCAGTTAATCACATACTTCCCTGTCTTTGCTGTCTTGATCAAATATCAACACTTTCTGCTCTCCAGTTAACTAAGATCTTTAAGATGGAAATAATGCAGAACCAACCTCTGTTAGAGGGGGGAAAAAAGACGGTTCAGGAAACAAAAAAGTAACATTGGGGTGAGGTTGGGAAATCTATTTTCAAGAGCCCTTCTCAGCAGTAGAAAAAATTGTGTTGGGTGAATGAAGGGAAACCAGATGGTAAAGGATCTGAAAGTGCAGGGCAAGACCTTGGCCCAAGACCTCGGACTGCCCTCTGACCTGCACATGAGAAGTTAGTTACTTTCGATGTATTTTTTAAATGGATTTTTTTTATTTGAAAACTTATTTGCAAAAATAAGAAATAGTTTCCTCTAGACTGAAGGTATAAATTATGTGTGCCCTTCTGGACTCCATCCTGATTTATGGGAAACTCTCTTTTACCATCCAATGTTTACCATCCAGTTTCCTAACACATCTCTTTAGGTGAAAGTCTGCCTGATGCCTATTTGGTGCAGACTCATCTGCATATTCCTGAGACTTGGCTTTAGTTGCCAGTGAGAAGGACGCACCGATCCTCTGTTCGGACACTGCGAGCTCTTTATTTTGGTCTTATTTCTTCTCCTCGTGAATCTTCAGTTACTCTCAGCTCCCCCTCCCCCCAGAGCCTGTCTCACTTTCAAAACTGTCCATAACTGTCCCTTTTTGCAAGTTTCTAACCCCATCTTCAACTGTGCGCTTTCCTTTCTTCGGGCCTAAGTGGGGAAGGCTTGGCTTCCAGCCTCTGAGGTCTGTGACCGGGGCCTGTGAATTAAAATAACAAAAAAAACAGGTGCCAGGAAAAGACCAGACAAGTTGGAGTGGCTGGTGATACTTCAATGTTTAGGTGCACAGAGACCTTCACAGGGAAGCAGTGAAACCCCAAAGAAAGGCTAGAGCCAGGGCTTCTATGCCGCTTTAGCCAAGAGTGCTAAGTGGTCGGATGCAATGAGATGAAAAAGAGGGTTTGGACAGGGGGTGCAGATTGAAGGGGAGTGACTAGGGAATCTGTGGGGAGACCACTGGAGACCGGGTATTTCAGGGAGGTCTGTTTGCACCATTCACCTCAGCATCGCCTCCCATCTGGCAGGGTGAGTCTGCCTCATACTCCAGGGGCAAGTTGGGCGTCTTCCTCCAGGAAATGTGGGCAGAACATTGTTAAAATCCCTGCCTGCATCTGCCGATCAACATCGCCTTCAGCTCCAATTAATCAACATGCCAAAGAGGCATATTTTGGGGTGACATGTCCTGATCTCATTCACCAATTTAGGTTTCATCCCCGCATAAGTTAAGAGAATAAGAACTGCTAAAGCGGCGTGAGGCGCAGACTGACCACAGGGCACGCCAGCTTGGCCCTCACATCTGGAAAAAGAGATGAGTTTTCCTCCCCAGCGCTCCGGGCAGGACAGAGGAGGCGCCGCACTGCTGTGCAGAGCAGTGGGTCTCGTGCTGTCGGCCCCCTCAGAGCCTCGCTCTTCCTTGCATGACGAGCCAGAGGGGAAAGTCTCTGACGCTTCCCCCCTCGCCTGCCCGCTCCATGCTGGGCCGACCCTGACTCCGTGGCCTCTCTTTCCCCAGGTTTCGCCGGCACGCCTGGATATCTGTCCCCAGAGGTGTTGCGTAAAGATCCCTACGGAAAGCCAGTGGACATGTGGGCATGCGGTAAGGAACCATATTTTCGTGCACATTTTCTAGGCCATTCGTATTGTTATCGTTAAAAAAATTATCTTTTACATTTGAAGATGCTCACCCGGGAGCGGAGGCTCCCAGAGCAGGAAGGGCTGGGTCATGGGTCACGCACAGGTTGCTGAGGTTTTGATTCAAAAGGTATTTGGGGTAGGAGGGAGGTTGGCATTTTGGTGGGATACCAGGGGGCACCAATGCTTCTGGTCTTGGAAGCGCTTTGAAGAAGGAGCCACAGAGCACGTCCAGAGGGGTCGCGCTTTTAAGTTTTTATGCTCTCACCTCATCCAGGCAGCTCCTACGGCAAATGCTATGTGAGCACAAGATGCTGGGCACAGGGATCAAGGGAGACATGGCAGCTTCTAGGGAGAATGAATTGACTGTCCCCTGGGAACTGAACCCCGAGCGAGGCCTTTCACAGCCAACTCCCAGCAAATGAGTACCCTAAGTCGCCTCTGAGGTCTAAAGGCACTTCCCGTGGTAACGCGTGTTTCAAGAAGGCGAGAGGCCACAGTCAGGGCTCCTGTAGGATGACACGGAATCCTTGTCCTCTGGGGTTCTGGGCACGGACTTGGAGTCTGAGTTCCCAGCACGGCGTCATGGCTCCCGATCTATAAATAGTGTGGCTTCAGCTATATGTGATGTTGGCTTTGCCTCATTAACAGCAGGTTGGTGTTTGATCTTAAACTGAGCTGTCTTGAGCTTTCAGAGTGAGCGCCAAAGCTGGGGAGGCAATTAAGGGAGCAGCCCTGCATTTGGAGTTCCAGCGCTTGGGTTCAGGAGTTAGCTTTGCACCTGCTACCCCATGTCTCTTTATCACTTCTGAGTTTCTTAACCTGTAAATAGGAATATATTAGCCTCCTGGGATACTAAGAGCATTAAATAGGGTGCAATTTCAATAAATACAGTTGATAGTTTGTGAAGCCATTTGCAGTGCGAACAGCTATTATTCTAAGAGACTGGAATTGTCACTTAGTTAAAAGTAAGGTTTTAGGAGTGCCCCACCTGTCTTTGCCCTGCCAGTGGAGAAGATCTTCTAAGCGCGAGCTCTACCTGCCTTTAGCTTCAGTCTGTTGTCAGCAGATGTCCTCATGGAGGTCTACGTGCAGATGGCAGATACCTCAGATTATTTCCCTTGCAATAAATCAGCTCCCATCACAGATCTGCTCCTGCTGATGAATGCAAAAGAAGCAGAGTGTGCTGAGAGGCAGGCACCGCCGATGGGCTTTGTGGGGGACAGAGTTGAGTGTGGTCAAGTGGAGGGCTGCTCTTGGGCCTTGAGTACTGGAGGGATGGCGCATTCCCCGATCGGTGAGCTGCAGGAGGACGCGGGCCAGGGCTCAGCGGGGGAGTCTTCCCTCACCTGCCGCCTCCGCTGGGCGGCTCAGCCTCCCCCCACCTGTTTTGTCATCCCTCCTCTTTTGCTTGTTTCCTTCCTAGTTTTTTTTTTTTTCCCTCCTTCCATCTGCTTCATAGGTAGGAGACGGTGTGAGCAGGGCTGAAGGAAGCTCACCCAGCCCTTCTGCTCTCTTGCTGCATGGCTGGGCACAAGGCACGCGTCTCTGGGTCGCAGCCGCCTCCTGCAGAATGGAGGCATCACTAGGACTTGCCTCCCAGGGCTGCCAAGAGGGGTGTATAGTAAGTGTTAGTTATTGTTGTCATAGAGAGTGCGGCTTTATAAACGAGTGTTGCACATCACCAGATGTGACAGAGACAGACCGAAGCCTCACATTTCAGGAGATGACTCAGCGTTATTGTTCGGAGCACCCGAACACTGGGGACCACGTCTCCTGGCCCGAAAACGCTGTCCCTGCTTTCTCTGCTCATGTGCCCGTTTTTGCTCACGTGCCTTTGATTCTGCGGCAGACTTTCCTGGGGTCCAGCTCCACAGCTCCTGAATCCCATGTCATTCATTTCAATACTTTAAACAGACCAGTTATTTGGTTCTTGCATTAAAACCTGTTTGTTTTTTTTTCCACTATCTTATCAATTTTGTTGGCATTGCAGAACGCCCGCACCTTTAAAAGCAGCCACAAAAGCTGATGTTAGGTCTGTGGACGCCGTGTGGCCTGGTGCTCAACAGAGAAAATGCGTAGACCCTGCCGGGCCCGGCCGGCCCTGAGCTGAGTGCGGGCAGCGATGTGCTTGGTAGCCGTGACGCATCCGGTTTACACCGGTTCAGCCTCACCAAGCACCGAACTCAGTTTCCAGATTGTTTTGTCACTGTGGGCACACGTGGCTTCTGGATTTTGTCGGTGTGCATTGTCCCTAGCCACTGCTCTAGCTCCCCTTTGAAAGCACAGGCCCGTTTCACTGATGTGAAAGGTGAGATGCCTTGTAGGGTAAGAGCTTCCATATTCTTGACTGGAGGAGGGGACAAAAGAGGGATGGAAAATAGAGTAGGCGCTCTCTGCTCGTTGTCTGAGCTGGAAAACATTCCTGAATCCGGTCAGAGCTGCGCAGGTGCATGGGTAGGTGATAGGACATGCCTGCACGGACTCGTGTGCACCCCTTCACGCCCCACATGTGCGCGGCAGGAATGACTGACTGGGGACGTGGAGTCTAGCGTGGCTTGGCCCCACCCACTCCACCACGGCGAACCCCCTGCGAGGCCCCGTGGCAGCTGGGGAGCCCTGATTCCGTGTCCTCAGGGACCGCGTGGATTGTGTGCGGCTTTTCCGTGCGTGGCTCAGGGTCCCAGCTGACCATGAAAACACCTTCTAATGCCAACTGTTTAGGGGAAATGACCACGATCAGGAGCATCGTGATGGCCCGTCCTGCCTTGTGTTAATGTTTCCGGGCCCCTGTTGTGGACTTAGACATGGGGTTTCCATCTGTCTGTCTGTCCCCTCACTCAGGCAGCAGGCCTGGTCCACTCAGATCCCTGTATTGATCGCGGCTGCACCTCCCTCTTTTCCTGCTGCAGCGACACCGAAGCAATGCACGTGTGCTCCCTCTGCTCTGAGGTTATGGCGTATCGTGAGACACTCTTTTTTCAGCCCCCTGTCATCACTAGCTCTTGCCAGTTGAACGGCAACTCCTTTTGAAGGACAGACGCTGCTCGCACAGTGAAATGACACTCCCCGGATAACAAAACCATGGAACAAATTGGCTAGCAGGCTGGCAGCTCGTCTTCCGTGCGAATTAAGCTGTGAGCACGTCTGACAGCAGGTGGTTTTTCTTTTCAGCCGTTGACACAGACCAGAGAGAAATGACGCTGGTGCGGTGGCTGAGGGAAATCTGTCCATTTTTTGGTTAGAAATACACAAGAAAGTTTAAATACCACCTTGTCTCGCTTTTGTGATCTCACACAGAATATGGCCTGACCCATGCTTGCAATTCGAACACAACCAGTGCATTCCTGGAAAGTAAATGATAGACATGAACGAAGCAAGAGCAGAGCCGTTGTCAGTCCTGCCACTGACAACGGGAAATTGGGCCTGCCGGCTTCCTGCAGGCAGACAGCCCACATGTGCATCTGCCTAGTGCTGGAGGGTTGTCTGTTTGCCACCCAAACTACAGATCATCAGTAGTTACCATCATCTGGAAAATAACTTACTATGCTGCTGCCTTTGAACTTCCAGAACTTTGTTCTACTTGTCACTGGCCCTGTAGGTTACAGTATGAATTAGGCACTAGCCTAATTTGTACTTGTATTTTTGAACTGTATTTTTTGAATTGTATTTTTTTTTTTGCATAAGGTATTGCTAGACAGAAGAGAGCCATATTACCCCTTGTAAAAAGTAATCGTGCATTTCCAAACACCACACCCATTTGCCATGCAGGCTCCTAGTGTGCTCTGTATGTACCCAGAGTATGAAGTAGGTGTCTTGCTGGATGGTTCCATTCCCTTGCCACTGACTTCTCAGAGTTCTAACTTTGCTGTTTCATCTTCTTTCATTAGAACAGGCTTTAGAATGTTTTAATCATTAATGTGATTATAGGTTTAATCACTTTACTAATTCTAATCAGTTTTGAATATTCTTGATAATGCAGTCTATCTAATCAGTAATCAGTGCTTCTCAACTTGTTAATCAAACACCTCTTACATCTCTCCCAGGCACAAAAACATACACAGGTGACCAGTTTAGATTCCATATTCACATGTTTGTTTTTTTAAAGATTTATTTATTTATTTATACAAGCACTGGGTACAGTTAGAAGTGCGGGAGGGTGAGAGAATTCACCAGAGCCAGAGCGGGGAACAGAACAGACAGACTGACGAAATACACTGCTGAGGGGAGCAGCACCCGGCAGGAGAGGTCTATGCGCCATGTGGGACCCTCGCCCGGGGATCGAACTGGCGCTGCAGAGGCTGCGGACAGCCTCGCAACCCAGCGCTCAACTGCTGCGCCACCAGGGAGGCCCCAAATTCACATGTTTTATGGAACCAACTGTATCAAAATAGTGTAACTTCTCATTAATGGATAATCAGAAACATACCAGAGTGACTAGTATGATGGGGCCTTTCGTGTTCATCTCTGAGAGAAAATGGCCCTATGAGAAGCTTGACAATAAAACTGTTATCGTCTGTAAGAATTGCTTAAAATCACCAGCTCTCCAGCAATTTTGCCATCTGCCCTCTCGTCCTGCAAGTTGTCGTTAGTTTGCTCCCCTAAATCTCTTTTAAGCTATAGCTTGCCCCCGATTTCTCTTCACTTTTGCCCCTACTCAGTTTTCAGTTTCTTGAAGCCTGTAGTTCCCCCCGAGCCCCGAGGCACCAGTCTCACTCTGCAGCTGCTCCTCACCCTGTAAGGAGCCAGGAATCCTGGTACAAGTGATGGAGTCCGAGTCCAGATCAGGAGGACAGATGAGCCAGGGGTGTCTGATTAGATCAGAAGGAAGGGAAACTGTCAAGGCCACAGAGTTGGTATCAGCAGGACTCGGGAGTCAACTAGAAGAGGCTTCTACGGGTTCAAGGTGAGACAAAACAGAAGACATAGAAGAAAAGGAACAGTGATGAAGTCAGACCCGGCAAAGTTTAAGCCCAAGTATCCATCGTGAGAGTGAGAGGACCGCAGAAACCCCCGCCTTGGCAGGCTGCTGGGGACCCCATGCATTATGCTGTCAGTGAGTTTCAGGGGTGGGGTGGGGAGGGGTCAGTGAGCCTACCTTTCATAGGTGAGCTGCACCTCAGGGACACCGAATACTGGGCTTAGGAAAAGTCATGACTCATTTTCGCAGCAGATGGCACTAGAAAATATGCCATGACTTTTCTGACAACCCAAGAGTTGCCGAACTAAGCAGTTAGTGCCCAGGTGTGACGGAATTGGACTAGTTTGCGGCCCCTCGTGGACCGCCTAGGCGGTGGTCACTCGCCACCGTGGACATCATGACGCACTGGCAGGTCACATCACCTGCCCTGCACCATTCACCCCACAGGGAAATCAGAAATGAAGGTGCTTTGCTTGGCTTTAAAAAATTTCAGTGTCTTAGTTATGGGGAATGGAGAAGACCCACAGCTTTATTTTTTTTTCCTGTGATCTGGGAGGAAAAGGTACAATGTTAGGGTTATAAGGAGAGCACAGTCGGAAACATGTGTGAGGCAAAGGCTCACTAGTAGACACATGTGAAATAATCAAGTTAAGATACACAGCTACAGGGACAGGGTGACTGCAGGGGACGTTGAAGGCAGGGCCGAGTGGAAACCTTACAGGGAAAACCTCAGGAGACGTGGCGTGCAGGCTTGCTTGTGGCTCAGTAAAGTCGCTGAACCCCTGAGTCCATTGTGCCCCACCTATTAATAGGGTTCTTGAGCACAGGGGAGGAGCCGTCACCCTGCATCCGCCATGCTTCAGACTGGATCAGAAGACATCTCCCCAAAGTGTAGCCATCGGTTCTCTTACTTGCAGGGGTGTGGCTGGTCTCTGGGTGGGTGAGCTGCATTTGCGGGGTGACGGCAGTGACGTGCCTCTGCTTTCCTCACAGGTGTCATTCTCTACATCCTCCTGGTGGGATACCCCCCGTTCTGGGACGAGGACCAGCACAGACTCTACCAGCAGATCAAGGCTGGAGCGTACGATGTATGTAAATGACCCCAGAGCTTGGGTTGAGGGCTTGATTTGCTTTTTAAGCGTTAATGACCAGGAAACAGGTTTTTTTTCATTGCTCTGTCAGCCATAGTTCTCAACAATTGCCCTCTTTCTTAGGAAAGCCAAGATAATGCAGGAAATATATTTCCTTTTTCTTTCAGCTCACTATCTCCTAAGATTAAAAGGAAAATGGTTGACAGACACTGAGGAAGGACCTGGCTCAATGTGCATTTGAAGACACAAAGATTAAGGTTTTCACAGTGGAAGTAATTACTACCTGCTAGTTGAATTATATTCCCAAATGCCTGCCCAGTGATTTAAAATTCTGTATCAGAGATATAGGTATTCGGTGGAACATGAGTCCATATTGTCAGAACTGATCAGGTTTTGTTTACCCATTGGGCTGCTGGGCATGCTTTCATTTGACGAGCCAGGTTCACCCAGGAAAAGTCTTTGAACACCCCAGTTCCAGAACTTTTCCAGTTAGAACACTCTGAACTAGGCATCTGAGCTAAATTCTGAACCCAGAGGGAAGACCTTGTCTGGTTTCTCTTTATGGCTTAACTTGGTGCTCAGTGAGTTAGTCAGCAATCCTTGGCTAACTACATTTGCAAATAGGGGTGACACCTCTAAGACTTCACCCCACCCGGCCTCCCTGGATATGCACACTGTGTTTATGTGGGGCCGAGGAGTAGCAGGTAGTTGTGGGTCCACCTTCTGTGCACAAATTACACTCAGGATGCAAGCGAGGAGGCCATACACACAATCTGTCTTCTTCTCTGTCATGTGTCATGAACCCAATGCTTTTCTGTTAAAATGTTCTGCTTAGATGGATGGGCTTATCATGAGAATTTGAAATGTGTATTTTTAACTTAGAAGCATTCCATCGTAGCTGACATAATCATTTGACAAGCTTTTTAATGACGTAGCCGTAGCTGGGACCATGGTACAGGCCAAGGCAGCAGCTCGGGGCAGCCAGGCCGGGGGTGCAGGATGCAACCTGGGGAAGGTTTCACGACCACTAATGTGGAGTAAGCCTGTTTCTACTGGAGCTGCTAATTCTCTGAGTGAAGGTGCATAGTGACCAAAATAATTACAGAAGGAAACAGGATATAGTTCTTGGTGCACAAATGGATTACTTTTTTTGTTACCTTTTCTATTTATTACAGTGCTGTTCATGTGTGGACAGTATCTGATTTCTCCCTCCGGAGGAGCCCCTTGTGTTCTTCCCTTCCCTGTCTTGACCACCCTCTCTCCTGCTCTACTGTGTGCCTCAGGCCTGTGGCCAGGTTTGGCCTTTTTCCCTGACCCTCTGTTGAGTCTCTGTATTGCACATATCCTTAATGGAAGCAACCAACGTCCACCACTTACTTCTATCTACTTGGCGTTGGTAATACAGGCATGCATCCTTCCGAGGCACCTGCAACCTCCGATTCCTCCCCACTCCAGCCGGTGTGGGGGAGCGAGATGCTGCCTTTGAAACCGGGGCTTGCTTCTCGGCCTGTCTTGGGTTTTTCAAGTAACTGACAGCTCCTCTGTGCACACATTTCATTCTCAGAATGGCTTCATTATCTGGAATAGGCAATACATGTCTGTCCCTTGTTTATTACCTTTCAGTACCTGTAACTATATAATATAGGGATGTAGCTAGATATAATTTAATCTGTAGAAAAGAAAGTTAATGAAACGACTTCAGGAAAGGATTAACGTATTTGGGTCTTCGCTGTTCCACTGAGTGTATCTACTGCTTCAGCCCTTTCTACATTTCTATTTTTGAAGTTTCCGTCACCAGAGTGGGACACAGTGACCCCCGAAGCCAAAGACCTCATCAATAAAATGCTGACAATCAACCCTGCCAAGCGCATCACCGCCTCGGAGGCCCTGAAGCACCCGTGGATCTGTGTAAGTGGCAGCTCTCCAGGTAGCCCCGCAGCTAACATGGAAAACACACTCTCCTTTCGATTATTTTTCACATGTGTTGAGCATTTTTGCAGGAGAAGATGAAACTCAGTGAATGAATTAGCAAGCTATTCCACAGACTGTATTTCAGTGGTGGAAATGCTATTTCGAGTAGCAAACTTTGATGAGCATAGATCCCGCTTATAGTAACACCAGGGATGAATAAGCCTCCCACTGCGGATAGTACTCACGGAAATGACACCAGGACCAAATATGGCCCAGAAAGAAGGATTTGACGAAATGTATTCACCATTCAGTAGCTCTCAAAAAATTTGGAAAGCAGGAGTAAAGTTTTACAACCGGGACAGACTGTGGGTAGTAGGCAGAGTAGACTTCAGAAGAACTAAGAAAAACTGTGAAATTTGGGGAAATGTACCGTCTGGAATAAGTTGCATGAGCTGGGGGGGGGTCCAATATGAGGGGATGGTAGGTCACCGAAAGGCAGTCCAACGGAAAGGGGAGTAAAGACCTGTGGAGGCAGATTCGGGAAGGTGCTGTCAGCTGCGGCCACGTTGTCCATGTTCCTTCCAGTCCTGGCCAACTCTCTCTGATGACCGAGAACTTGGCCAGAAACTACAGTAATGCCTACCTGCTCCCCCATACCCGATCCAGGGGCTTACCTTCTGGATTTTCAGTTCCCCTTGGTCAGCCACAATCTGAAAATATTACAGATAGTAATTTTTTCATTTAAGTAACAATGTGTTATAACATATCAGTTTTGGGGGTTCAGTGACTATACATGATACTCAGTTCCTGGCCGGAGGCCGGTCTGTCCTTCCTCCGTCCACCCAGGAGTGTTCTGAGAGGCCATGTTCCCATTACTGCTCTCGTGACCGTTGTTCTCACTGTGCCTACTTCATACCCCCTCTAAGAGGTACTTGTGTGCAGAGGAAAATCATATGGAGGCGCCCACTAGGGACTGAGGCCACATCCCAGGGGTTGGCGGGGGGCAACAGTGCTTACACGCTCACCTTGGGGTGCATTAACATTCTCACCTAAGTTTCCCTTTTGGGGTCTTCCAGCAACGTTCTACTGTGGCTTCCATGATGCACAGACAGGAGACGGTCGACTGCTTGAAGAAATTTAACGCCAGAAGAAAACTCAAGGTAAGTCACGGCCTAGTACTTGTGGGAATCAGGGCAGAGCGAGGAGTGGCTGTGTCGGGAAAAGAATTCAGCAGAGTCTTTCCATGCCCTCTGCTGGGCCTGGAGGCAGCGGAATACATCCTCTGAGGGACAGGGCCGAGCTCTGTGGGGACCTGGGCTGGGCCGTGCAACGGGAGAGCGGAACACCAGCCCCTGACCCCGAGTCCAGCTAGGCCGGGATGTGCCCCCCAGTGGCCTGCTCGGGGGGCGGACGCGTGCAGAGCCGCGTTCACGGTGTCTGTCTCCCCTCCGGCAGGGCGCCATCCTGACCACGATGCTGGCCACCAGGAACTTCTCAGGTACGTGTGAGGCTAGCTCTGCTCTCCTCTGCGGCGGGCCTCCCGCGGCGGCCCCGGAAGAAAGGCAGCCAGTACCTCACCGGCACGCGGGGCCGGAGCCCCGTGGCCTGAGTCCCTGCCCCGCCGGTGGCTGTGGGGCTGCTCGGACCTCGGGCTCCTGCGCTCCCACGCCCGGACCCGCCTCTGTCTGCGCCTCCTCTTCTGGCCTGGCCCCTCTGGCTTCCGTCCACCCCCCTCTCACTCCCATGTCTGCTCTCCTCCCTCTGTCATCGCTCACTTCCTTCGCCCTCATCCTCTCTCCGTGCGCTGCCGTCCTGCTGGGGCACGCCTCGTGTGGACACACGCGCTCCCCCTTCGCCAGCCACTGTGGGGACACGGGGGAGGGGGGGTGGCCGGGGGTGGGGGGTGGCGCGGGCGTCCCCGCTGGCTGCGAGCTCCAAGTGCAGCAAAGGGCACGGCCGGAGCGCCTGGGGGGCGCGGGCTGCCCTGGGGCCTCCCCGCTGAGCTGGGCAACCACGGCTGCAGGGTGAGGCTGCCCCTGGGGCTCCTGACTGTGCCCTGTCTGGTTGGTCGGGGGCGGGAAACCCCGGTGCTGCCCTGGGCAAGGCACCTGTCTGATGAAGTGTGGGTTCACGCGGCAGCGGCGGCCACTAAGATAGGGGAGTCCAGCGTCACGTCGAGTGATGCCAACACAGACTCTGTCTAGACAGGGCGCCGCTGCGGGCCGCGAACCAGTGACCTGCTCAGAGCCAGGATGAGTCCTGCGGTCTGTGTCGTGGAGAAGAACTTGAAAAGAAAGTCCCGAATGCACAGAGAGTGTGCGTGTGTGTGTGTGTGTGTGTATGTTTGTGTGGGTGTGTTTACATACACTCGGGGAGGGGGGGTTGCGTGTGTGTATGTTTGTGTGGGTGTGTTTACTTACATACACTCCCAGGGGTGTGTGTGTGTGTGTGTGTTTACATACACTCCCGGGGGGGGGGTATATTTACATACACTCCCAGAGGGGTGTATGTGTGTGTGTTTACATATACTCCCGGGGGGGGGGGGGGGGGGTGTGAGTGTGCGTGTGTTTACATACACTCCCAGGGGGGTATGTGTGTGTGTTTGTTTACATACACTCCAAGGGGAGGGTGTGTGTGTATGTTTGTTGGTGTGTGTGTGTTTACATATACTCCCAGGGGTGTGTGTGTGTGTGTTTACATACAGTCCCCGGGGGGGGGGTGTGTGTGTGTGCTTACATACATTCCCAGGCCCACAGCGGGCCTCCGTGAACCCGCGCCGCGTGTGGGGGTTTTCCGTTTACCTGCCATCACCGTTTCATCATCGTGTTCACTAAAAGCCCATGACTAATACGTGGATTTTGGATTGTCTCTGAATGTCACAGCATGAAAAACAAACTTTGTGTTCTCGGTCCATCCCTTCAAAGCCCACTGAGCAGCATCAGCCCCAGTCACCTCTTGTATCTGATACTGTATTTTAGTTTTGAGTACCTTGTTCATGCTGTTTCGTTGCCAGCCATGCTCTTGAAAGTAATGTGTCCATAAGTATATGGTGATAAAGTTGTTTTTATTTTTTCTTTTCTCCCTTTATGTGGAATGTATTTCTTGTGAGGTAAGGAGAACAGAGACCACAAGGGACATTTCTGCATCTCCAGGCCAGCTCCCTGCTTCCCCTAATCATTGCCTTCTCTTCGCTTGCTACTGCAATTCCAGTTACTCTGAGTTTGCTTCCTAACCGATTAACCTGAAGTAAATCGTGCGGCAGTTGCTTTGTAACTCCAGGCAAATGGAGGCAACAGTCTCTCACCGTCTCAGTTAAATTAGTAGCTTCGTTGCGCAAGACTAAATAAAATTAATACTTTTATCTCTTTGAAAGAAATTTAAAATTGTTCCAAAGTGACAGCAAAATAATGTCCCCAATCAAATCGACGTAAGGCCCTGCACGGTCACGTAGTGCTAGTGTAGCCTCGCTAGAGAGCCACAGGTCATAAGCCGAACCCCATGCTGATGTACTTACACGGCGAACTCCTGTGCAGCCAGCAAGCGTTTACTTTGTTCTCTGTATCTGTGAATGTCCTGCACTGGGTGTGCTTAATCGACGCGGACGGTTCATGTATCTAGCCCCTGTTTCTGGTTCCATTCATAAGTACATTTTTTAAGAGGACGTCACCTTTTAACACCCACAGGAAGGTCTAGGAACAGGCGTGTGAAAAGCTCCCCTCTGAGAGGATGAGGTTTCACATTAGACCAGAGGCATTAGGAGTTCTGATTCTGTTGAAGATTTCATTTCATTTTATATCTTGCATCAAATTCTCTACGTTTTCAATGTAAAAGGCTCTGTGGCTGAAGCCTTTCTGATCTCACTTTGAAACATGAAAACTCATACCGCTTTATAAAAAGTCATATGCTAAATGTTTAAAAAAAAATTTGCTCTAGGTCAGTCATAGAGCATTTCAGCTTAAATGGTTAATATTTTAAAAATTGTATCGTTCAATTTGTCCAAAAGATATGTATTTTTACAAGTTGTTATTTGGCCAGAGCAAATTTTCACAAATGAGTTTTAAACCTCCGGAGAGAGGCCTTCCCTGGCAGAACTGACGCAGCCAGTGGACTTGTGGTGTGAATGAACGATGTCTGAAGACAAAATCAACTTTCTGGATTACGAAACATAGTCCAGTTAAAGTTCCAGTATCCTTTTCGCAACCGAGAGTGAAATGAAGTCCACCAACAAAAATGGCAAAATTCCTAATGATACGCAATGAACTAAATGCGAATTTAGTTCTCAATTGGATGTGGCAAAACCAAGAAAAGCGATACTGTGTTTCAATGTCCTGTCAGCTGCGCTCATCTGTGTGATCAGGTAGTGAAGGGGCAGAAAGAAACCAGCTGACTGTTGCCTGGCGGGTCTCTCCGGACACCCACTAACCTGCTTTTTCTCTCATTTTGCAGCAGCCAAGAGTTTGCTGAAGAAACCAGATGGAGTCAAGGTAAGTTAAAACAGGTGTGCCTAAAATCACATCTGCCTTGGAGACGCTGGATAATTTTAAAATGGTAAATTTAACTCCAGACCTTTGCAGCTTGTCTTTGATAGTTCCTGTAAAGCTGGAGATTGAAGTATAAAGCAGTGGGATGCGCTGGTAACTGTGTACCGAGGAAAGCTAGGTTTCTTCTCCTTTACGGTAATTATGACAAAATGACACTTTCATTTGCTCTAGAAACCAAAAATCTCTCTGCTCGGGTCCCCAGATCTCATGATGATGTAAAAGATACACAAAAACCTAACGCTTTTGTGAAGAGTTATGCTGTGTTCTAGAGGCTGCTGAAATGTGTAGCCCGAGACAGAGCAAATCTTTGAGTCTGGGAAATCAACGATCAACATTATTTAAAAAAAAAAAAAAAAAAAAAACTGCACAAGGAGATTTTATCAAGGTCTTAACTATTTCTGTGCTTCCGTCATTAGGCGTTGCACTATGACTGAGGTGACTGTTCTCAACAATTAACACTAACTTTCCAAGACAGATCCCAGCAGGCTATTTTGACTTCCTTGTATTTCTAAACAAAACCGCCCCTCTTATTTTCTATGGATTCTGTCTCGTTTTAGGGAAGTTTGCCTGGGGTTGAATGTGACCTTGCATTTGCATTCTGTTTATTTTTCCAGGGTGTTTCCTCAGTATTTCCTTTCTTTAACCCTTGTCTTTCTCTTCCAAAGGCAGATGCCTGCATTTCTCAAGGGCCCTCAGAGTTCTCGGGAATTAGTTAATATGCTAACGTGTACTGGGCCCAGAGTCCAGGCGGTCAGGTCACTTCGAAAATATGACATAGAAAACCGTGTGTCGCCTGTGACGTTCATGCCCTGCCTCTCCTCCTCTCTGTCTGAGACTTGGGCATCCCAGTGCCGTGGGGCCCCCGCGACTGAGTCCCCTCAGGCTGGCACGTGCCGCGTGCCCATCACTGCCCTTGGCATGTGACTCTCTCTTCCTCACGCTTAGTGTATCAGAATTCCAATCACGCGGGGCCACGTCTGCCTTTGCCCCGACGTGACAGCGGTGCCAATGCGGTGTTCCGAACTTCCCCAGTGCTGCGGTCTCCTGCGTGTGCAATACCTTTCCCAGCTGCAGTTTCTGTGGCAATGTGGGCTTTCGTGACTGTCCTTAAGTAGCACGAAACCTTTTCAGAAATTCCTTCTGCTAGTCGACTTACAGCTCCTCCATAAAGATGCAGTGATGCTGTGCTCCTTGCTTGCACACTCAACATTCAACCGGTCATGGTTTTTATTTTCTCTTCTTTTCTTTGTGACTGGTCCACTGGTCAATTCAGAAAAGGAAGTCCAGGTCGAGTGTTCAGATGATGGTGAGGATCTCTCTCTGCCAGATTTTTTTTTCTCTTACAAAAAAGTCCCATTTAGGAATGAGAAAGCCTTGTGTACGGAAGCGAGCAGCCAGCGCAGGGCTGCCGCGGGGGAGCGCTAGTGTTCAGATCGCAGAGCCCCGCGTTCACATGTGAGAGAGGGAATCTTCCCCAGGGACAGACGCTTGGAAATTGAGCAGCCTAATTATAGAAAAGAGACTGTAACGGAAAAAACACTATTTGATTACCACAATAGGCGTGCTGCTGAGTGCAGAAACACTGTAAAACTGTGAAAGGAGCCCTCGGTGGCTCCATTCTACTTAAGCACCTTTCGAAGAACTGTTACTAAACTCAAAATTGAATAGAGTCCGCACCTGAGAAATAGGAACACAACTTGCCAAGGCTTAAGTAAGCAGAGTATGACTTCAATATCTGATTTTTGTTTTTTCTTTTTTTAAGGCAAGGATGCTCCTTCCATAATAAAATCACATTTCCAGCATTCTTTTTTGTTTAAAAGACAGCTGTGGTTGAACCCAAACTTTATCTATGACGCTTAATTGAAAACCTTTTCCACAGAAAGTCTGGTTAAGTAATGTTATAATTACCTTGCAAAGTATTTTTTTTTCCTATATCAGAAAAATGATATTTAAATGCATTGGTTTTGTTCAACATTGCCTTTATCACCACGACCACATTGTGGCTGAGGCACATCCTCATTTGGTTCCCTTCACTAAGAGGAGGGGAAGGAAGCCGTGTGTGTGTGTGTGTGTGTGTGTGTGTGTGTGTGTGTAGGGGAGGGGGCTTGTGGCAGCATGTGTGCAAGGTAAGGCAAAGTAAGGTTGGTGCACAAAACACGTTTTCACTAAAAAAAGCTGTTCTTGGTAACCACATTCCTAGAAAAAAGCAAGTCTCTTCACGACAGAGCAAAAAAATGCCAGCATATTCCTCTTTCACTCTTGGTTTCCACTGATGTAAGGTAAATATTGGAATCAAACTTACCTCTGACCGTGTAGAAAAGATCGGTTGTGTTTGGCCAGACACCCTTCCAGAACCAGAAAGCGTGTGCACCGCTAGGTTCAGTCCTTCCTAAGTAGGTTATTTCTTACCGCCTCTAGGCTGTTGCACAGTTTTCTTTGCTGAATTCTGTGCACTTCTATTTACTGATCTGCAAAATGTAGGTTGATGAGAAAAGAACCCAAGTTTTCTCCTCCTGCATGCCAAAGGCCAGTGTTTCAGCTTATTTCAGTAACACCAATACCAAATAATCCCACAAATGTGAAGGAGCAGAAAAGTGAAATAGCACGTGCCTAAGTTTCTTTGACTTTCTGTCTTCCTCTTAGTGCTAGTTTCATAGGATCTGTAGATATAAAATGAAAATCCAAAAGGTTAACTTGGTATATTTCCTTGTGAATACTCACTCCATGTTCATTCATTAGATGTGGTGAGTTCTCCAAGTCCTCCAGTCCATCCGTACTAAGGGACGGATGTATTCCTTTAGGTAATAATACAAAAAATAGGGTAGTACCTCAGAATGTTCATTTCTATTTGTTGGCTAATGTAGTTTTATTTCAGAGTATTAAATCGCATCATGTAAGTTGCCACACATTCATTTAAATGACTGTAGATTTTTACTTCTCCATCTTTGATTGTGAACTGCCCAAACTCAAGTGTGGCTCCAACTTGCCACCATTTGTCTACCAAAAAGTCCTCTGTGTGGGTCTACTGGTATACCTCTTGACCCTGAGTTGATTTTACAATGTGGCTTCATTCTGGGAATGAGTTCTTCTTCACAGTCAAACCCAATTATGTTGAAGCAAAGGTGGGGCATTACGAAATGCAGTGTTCAGTGACAGCAAGCACTTCTTTGCTGTGAAACAAGTGTGAAAAATAAAAGTCACACTCCAAATATTAACAGAGAGTCACAGTTAGCCTCCCAGGGTGTTCTCTAAAGGTAGACCCAGGCTTAACACTTCTGTAGAACATGATCATCAGTATAAAGCCTGCGTTTCCTCAGCAGACGCAAGTTTTTCATTGGACACCTACTGAGCCAGTGGTGATAGTTTTGCAGAGAAAGCAAGTCCGTGTGACTTCAGGCTCAAGGGAAAATGAAAAGCATCTATTCGTTACTCACTGAAGGTGGGAAACAGAATCTGGAAGAGTATGAACAGGATTCTGTCCATTTCATACTCTGAAATGTGATTTGAGCTCCGTGGAAACAGCTCTTTGTCTGTCTGCTAAGGCGGCACAGCCAGAGCAGCCCAGTCTGACCTTCTGCTCTCCCAGACATGGTCCTGACCTGTGCGTGGCCATCGGAGGTTAGAACCGGCTGTCCTTCCCGTCTGGCCTCAGGGTCTTTGACGGTCCCCTTCAGTGGCTCTTTGGCCCCATGGCTATATCTCCATGTCGACCTGCTGTGTGTAGTGACCTTGGCTGCCCAGGGGTTTAAGGCGTCTCTGTTTCTATTTTCTGCATACCTACAGATAAACAACAAAGCCAACGTGGTAACCAGCCCCAAAGAAAATATTCCCACCCCGGCGCTGGTATACCTGGACTCTTTGTAACCCTTCTTAAGTTCTTTATTGTTTCTCTCATTTGCTTTCACTCTATAGATACACATATATATTTTTGTTGTTGGATTTTGTTTGTTTTTGCTTTCTAAGATATTAAAAAAAAACATTTTTTTTTTCCTTTTGGTTAAGGTAGTTGTCAAGCGGTGTGTCTCTAACACGAGATGATCTCATTTCATTGTTGAACATTGTTCTGCTCCCTGTGGTCTCGTAGCTCAGGCGTTGCATGCTGCCTTCCAGATGCCGTAGAATGAACACGCTTCGGGTGCTCTTAGCTCTTCTGATGATGGTAGCTCTGGATGAGACGAACAGTGGTTTCCTCCTTTCGCTGTGCAGAGGTTGACATCAAGGAGAGCTAAGGGATTGTTGCTAGACCACAGTGAAGTAGACCTTATTCAGAGTCCCTCTCCCATCTTATGAAAAGACAGCTGGGCTTTGAAAGACCTCGTCTTCTGAGGTGAAGAGGCACTGGATAATTTAAAGCCTTTTGTTTGTTGTGTTTAAAATTAAATTATCACTGTTTCACTTTAACCCAGAGAATGAAACCGAGTAGCAGAGCTTTCCGTAACCAGTGGAAATCTGTTTTGTCCATGTCAATCAAATTCGCATTCGCAACAACTAAATCGGCTTAACACCTTTACAGCATTATGTTTTAAATTGAGATGTGAATACTGGCATGCACTGATCTGAGTTCCAGTATGCGCTCCACTCATTATTCCACATGTGGTTATGGTTTCCAGAAGCGTTTCTCATTTTTGACTCTCCTCCTTACTAAGAATTTGGGGGGTTACTTACTAAGATAACAATCTTAATGAATAAAAAGAGTATTATTTCACATGGGTGAACCAGAAGGCTTATTGTAAACACATTCAAGGGAAGGACATCTCAAGATACTAGATAATCTACTAGAAGAAGTCCTTGTGTTTGGAGAGGACACTCCCGATGCAGATGGTAAGACAAGCTCTTTTTTTAACATCATTTTTCTGAATGTCAGATACAATTTTCCTTTATGGAAAAACCTGACTTTTCAACCAAGTCATCTGTACGGATGTATTCCTAAAGCAGAAGAGATGTCAGCCAGTAGCAATAAGACTTGAATGGCCGTGAGGATGTAATTGGGTCTAGACCCCTCTCAATGAGCCACTTACATTTTCCTCAGAATTTCTTGTACACATCGGAGCACACTTGAAATGAATTCCCTCCCCGCAATATTGTTAAAAGTGTGTTCCAGTGACTTCCAAGGGTATTTATGGGGGTATTCATTATAGCAACGCTGTAACTATCAAAGCAACACATCCGAAAATTTTCACAAAGGCTTTGACAGCGCTCTGACCTGCTGTCTCCTTGGCCAGTTTTGTATGGAATGGACATCAACAGCCTCCTCACTAGAGAAAGGAAAGCTCTGTCTGGTTTAGAATTGGTGAAACAGTCAGTGCCTCTTTGGGTGTCCACACTTCAAAGCCTCATCTGTGCCCATCGCGAATAAGGTCTCTTGCATGCTGCCGCTGCCAGCGGGCTGTCCTGCCTCCCAGGCTCCACCACGGAGCCCCCTCATCAGACCTTGTCAGCCCAACCTCTGGCAGTAGCTCCCATCGCTTAAGCTCATGTCTCCCTCTGCTCTGTGCCCCCGACTCGCGAAGAATGTACTTACCAATGCGAACTGTTTCTTTCTCTATTTTGTTCTCACTCAGGAGCCCCAAACTACTGTAATCCACAACCCTGATGGAAACAAGGTATTCAGAAAGAATCAACATCATCTTGCTTTGAACGAGATCACACACCTCATCCAATAGTCCATGCAAAACTCACTATCTAAACAGAGAAAAGAAAGTCCTTCACCTTTTTTCTATCATACTTTCTTTGGGGCCTGACTTGCCTAGAACCTTATGACACCTACTTCTTTCAAAACAAAAAAGGGATGATACCCTGTAAGAGAAATGAATGATGGGCTTAGTCCGCGCAAGTCGAAGTCGTTTTGTCGAGATGACTGTGTATCTTAAGGAATTCCCTCTGGTCTCTTCTCACCCCTGCCTGTCTGCATTGTACCGTAGATGTATCTTCTGCATGACATTTTACAGTTTCTTGCTCTGTCATCCTCGCGCATCGAAACTATCAACCGAGTTCATGAGTATCTGTTTATAACTTCATGTTCCTTTTGAGTTCTATTCATCCTGTCGTCGTCTGTTAATTTCCCTGTTGTTTCATTGTTTGGCATGAATCTGAGAATCAGGAGTTTCAGTCCTTGTAAGATATGTTTTTGATTGACAAGCATTTCAGTAGCAGCCATTTAACTCCTTATGCTGAAAGAAGACTGTTTCCTACCCATTTAATAACAGTATTTGTGTGCAGTGTCAAAGTGGACATTTTCTGAATGTTTTCAGTATTCTCATACGTTATTCTATCTCCAAGGGGAGGGACAAGCAGTTAGTAGTAAAGAACAAATGTCATAAAGTACTGTTACGGGTCTTACTTCTCCTTAGTCTGAGATGTAGCTGAGCAGTATCATAATCACTAAAACCAGGACGTGTTATGGTCTGTAACATGAGGTTGTATAGTCTGACACTATAGGTGTTCTAAGTCCCTAAAAGACTTGAGGTAGCCCAGAACATCACAAGTGAGGACAATTTTTTTCCAGTATCATTAGCAACTGAAAGGCCAAGCGTAACAGCTGGAATGGACACTTCGATAGTTCTAGGTCTATCGTTTGTAAGAGCTGCCGCATGATTTTCTCTTGCTTATCTACATGAGTTTATTTTTACAGTGCATGGATTTACCTTCATCTTGAGCTTCCATTTGAATACTAGGTCACAAAAAAAAAAGCATGAACATTCCTTGTTTTGGTTTTGTGTGTACGGAGACTCTGGACACATCTTTGATTAGTCTCTCCCTTTGGTTTAAGTATTATATCTGACATTGACGTAAACCGATCACTTTTTTGACTACGGAATCTCTGAAAGGACTCTGGGATTTTGCATCATTTTGCAAAATCCTTTTTTCAGCCTTCACCTTTCATCAGTCCAAGTAGGAGAGGGTTTCTTAGTAATAGTCATAAAAAAGTTTCTTTGCTAGAAAGTATTTTTATTAGGGGAAAAATTCATCAGAGCATTGTAAGGACTGTATCTTAATATTAGTACTTATAGTGTCCTTTTGAAATACGCTTACTAATCTCTAACTTCATTTGTCATTTTATAAAGAAAATAGCTTTGTCTTTTCATTATGGGAGAGGTTTCTTATCTGTAAGAGCCAGTTATTTCTAATTTAAAATGAAAGAAAAAAATCTAATTACCCCTGAAAGTAAATTATTCATTAAAATTCCATTGTGCTGATCACACTCATGGCAATTCTTCTTAAAAGCACTTTCAGCAAATTCCAAGTGAGCACCCTGCACCTGAAGTGATGCAACAAATGCTCTCTCTACAAAGGAGTGAGGCAGACAAAGGCTGAATTTGGTGCATGATCTAGTGCCTTCTAGAAAGGCAACACTAGAAATTGTCCTATTTTAAGACTCACATTCATTAGTCTAATATATTTCCTTTCTCATCAATACATTCACAGCAGCCTACCAGATGGTCACTGTAACATAAAGACATCCTTACACGGGTGTCCGAATAAGCTGCATACTTCAGCTGCTTCTGCAAATCACCTACATTGGCCTGATATCAGGCAACCAGAGTACTCCTTTTTTGAAGTGTTTGTGGCACTGTTTTCTGTTAAAACCATGTATTTGTCCATGTGCATGTCAGCATCTGCTCACAGCCTGCCGAAGGATTGTGCATGATCTAAAAACATCACTTGTTTTTTAAGAGGGAACACAAACCAAGCTATTGATTGTCTGCAACTTAAACTCTATTTTCCTCTCCACAGGAGTCAACTGAGAGTTCAAATACAACAATTGAGGATGAAGATGTGAAAGGTATGATATAACCAGAAATGGAAATCTCCTAACTCAGAGTTCCCTACCTTTGTGTCAGAAAAGAACGTTTGCTTTTAAATAGCTATGAAGTCAAGGAGCTAGGCTGATGCTACAAAACATAAAAATATTTCAAGTGCTTAGCTGAACTAAGGTGGTCAGTGTTTCTCCACATTGTTCTTTTTTTTGGTTTTGAATGATAGACAACAGGGGGTGTAGTAATGAGGCTTTACCAACATGCATGCACGTGTGTGGGAAACAGTGGATATCAAGAATGGTGAATGAAGAGAATGATTTTTTGTCTGACTTACATGGGTCCCTCATGGGGTTCTGCATTGGAAGCCTGCTACCCGAGTCCCCTGTGCTTTCCTGGTCTGTTCTTGTGCCCCATGGAGTACAGTGGTCCAAGGTTGTAGCTGAGCAGGAAGCAGCACTGGCCACTCTCCAGGGCCCTCTGCGTCTCCGCGCACAAACAGACGTGAGCCATTGGCTTGATTCTTTTTGGACTCCTGACTGCTTCTGAAGTGTGAGTGTTCTTACCATTGCTTTTGCAGTTGTCTAGTCTCACGTGTGCATTTCAGCATACCTAAGCACCCGCTGTCTGCAGGCCTCCTGTCTAGACACCATTGCAAACAAGAATGGTAACGATCAGGATCCTGAAAATGCAGGTATTAAGGAGAAAGAAGTAGAAGTAAACTCAGAACTGATCTACCAGCTAACTGAACTTTAGCTGGGACTGTTTAATAGTACCGTCGTAGGTTTTAACTGCACAGGTGGCTTCGGTAAGATACAGTCTTGAAAAAATCGTGTTCATGTTATACAATCGAGAACCTGAAAATTCTCAGGTCGGTGACATCTAGACTATTTATAAAGTGAAAATGGCTGTGGGTCGTTAGTTGCCAGTCACCTTTGCTGACTTCTGCCTCCGGGTGAACTCAGCAGCTGATACCATGAGGACGCGCCCTCTTGTGTCATCGGTGCCCTGAGCGAGGTCACTGAAGGGCAGGCAGCTGTCCTCTTGTAGAAACGAAAGCCGAGTAGCTCGGTTGCATGTTTTTCTCTACCAGGTCTGTCCCTCTCTCCCTTCCCCTGGAGGTAAAATTTGAACTTGAGTTCATAAACCACTGGTGCCCGTCCCAATAGGTACTTTTCCCCCTGAGGTGAATAAGCAGATGTGTTTTTTCAGAGATTCAGAAAGCCTCTTACATTCATTAACTCCTTCAGCCAAACAAAATGTTTGTGATTTTCCACATTCTTCCCTTGAGCAAGAGGGAGGAAGAGAGGGAATCTTACAATAACTGAGCAAATTGAGAAGAAGGCCAGCACCGCAGCAGCCCAGTTCCTCGTCCCAAGAATGTGTTCTCCGGGGATCAGAAACTGGGTTTTCCCAAATGCTCTTTCTCCCCTGAATGTATCTCCTCACTGCATCAAGGTTGATTGCTACTAAGCTATAAATCTGCAGGCGTAAGCAGCCTTTGTCCATCTTACCTTCGAATTGTTTGGGCCAAATAAAATGATATCCCCAGTTCTCGGCCAGCAGCCCACTTCACATCGCAATGATGTGACTTTCATCTTACCTCTGGGAATGGACAGGGTTTCGCAAAATCATACAGTATTTGCTGTAGAGTTACGCTGAGTCTACACCAAATTTTAGAAAATTTAAGCATAATATTGACATGTCCTCTTGATCAGTGAACCCAACACGTGTCATTTGTTCAAACTCAAGGTATTATTACCGAGTCCTCTTGACTAGCTTGGGTATGGTCCCAGAGTCATGGGCCTAGCCTGCAGGCTTCGCGGGGCTGTCTTCATAGCCCCTGCAGCCCTTTGGTGGCTACCCTGTTGAACACTGGACAAGGCCAGAAAACATGGAGACTTACAAGACTTGGAAATGTCCCCTGTGCCGTCACTGGTATGGCAGACTGTCAGATGCCTTTGCAGCATGCTTACTGTGCAGGAAGCGCTCCACTCATCAGAAGAAATTCATGATAGCCTGGCCCCAACGATCACCTGTCTATGAGATCACAGCTCTCAAACTGCTGTGTCTCTCCTGCCATCCCCTCCATTCTGCACGCGACCTTGCTATGAGGGCGAGACACCACGTTTCAACGTGGTCTTGACAGCACATACCCAGTGTGAGCTGCTTGGTGCAGTCACCGGCGCCCACAGACACCTGCACCTAGACTTCCTTGTTTCCTTGGCGTGTCGATCAGATCCTCCCCACACCAAGGCAGTAAGTACATGGTCTGTCTCATCTGCAGGGACGAACCTGGCAGTGGCAGCCTCTGCATCCTGTCCGCTGCAAAGAAACAGAGGGGAAAATGAACACATTTTGGTGGCCCAGCCAAGGCAGATTCGCAGTACACAGCCAGGGAGGCCTTGAGGGGCCATATTCCTGATTGCTGCTTGTTAGTTTCTGTTCTGAATGATCTTGGGTTTTCACGAGGCCCCAATCTATGCGCTACTCCTGAGCTCAGGGTCTGCTCTCAGGTGTTCCAGCATGTAAGTATTTACTGAGTGCCTCATGTTGGCCTGCGCTCCCCAGCATCTCTGTAAACTCTCTTGTTCCAGAGCTTTCCCCAAGCTCCGCGTCTTGAGTTCATTCTGGCCACCTCAATCATTTAATTCCGTAAACCCCAGGAAAACTTACTGCAATAAGTTCCTGGAGAACTTTCTGTAGACCTCAAAACATGTCAAACTTTTTTAGCAATTTCCTACTTTTGTCCTCTCTTCAAAACCCAAGTCTTATGCCAACTGCTGTATCAGTGGAGACCCGCGACAAAGTCGGGGCGAGAGATCCTGCCACTGTAGCAGCAAATGGGAATCTTGGTGTGGAAGCACCGTGCCCGTGTAGCTACTGACAAGCGAAAGGGTTTCCTCTAAGAACAGTCTGTTGTCAAAAGACGCGTTGTCCTCAGGCCTAACTAGCGCTGTTGAAGTAGCCGTTGCACTTGGCATGCTTTCTAGTGAAACACCTGCTCTCGTTGATTTCAGGTCTGGAGCGGCTGTCGTCCGTAGCCTTGACTCAGTAGCCGGGCGAGGTAGTGCTCGCCGCGGCTCTGTAGACACGCGAAGACTGGCCTTGGGTTCGTGGCTGCGGCCACACTTGGCGGGGCCTGTCGCTGCTCGCCGCGCTGCCTGTCCAGCTCCGGGCCGCCCGCTGCGTTGCTCAGAGTCGCTCCTTGCTCCCGGCGGGCCTGCATCGGCTCGCTCCAGCCTCTGCTCTGCCCGGAATTCCAGGGACCTCCTGTCCCTCCTGCTCCGGCATCTCGCTTCAGCTCACCAGCCAGCAGCGGGCGGATCTCTTGCTGCCTCCCTCTGTCTCACAGGCCTGGGCCTCCAGAGCGGGGCCCACGAGCTGCATGATGTGCTGGGAGACTGACCGCCTGGGCGCTGCTTCCTTGTTTCCCTTTTTCTTTTCGCTGACAAATAGGCCAGGATCACGAAGCCTCGTAGCTGGGCCTTTTGCAAACTCGCTAAGGGCAAAGATGTTGACACCCTGCTCCCTTGATTGGGGGCCGTCACCGAGCAACCGGAGGTGGTGGTCTTGATGGATCTGCAGAATCACCTCCCTCAGGAGCCCCCGGGTGTGTGTTTCTCAGTCTGTCCTTGGGCGGGCGGCGTGAGGACCGCTCACTCACCTCAGCTCTTCTCAAGGTGTCTTTCCGCAGCGCCTTTGTCTCTGTGTAGAAGGTTCCAGGCAGGAGACCCCTTGTACCCCCCCGCCCCCAGGTCTTCAGGCCCCCATGAGGCGTCTGTAAGTCAGCCCTTGTCTTGCTTGTGTTGCTCACTCCAAGAGAATCTGCAAATCAAAAAAGCCCTGGAGATGTGACTTTAGGACTGAGGGCGCCATCCCCCTAGGTTCAGAGTGCTTAGGGGCCCTGCCATGTGTGCGGAACAACTTCTCTCGGGTTGGTGATCCAACATTTCATTGTTAAAGGTTTCGGAAACATTCTTATAACTGTCTTCACTTTCCTATTTTTTTTCCTCGCGTTCCTTTGCTTCACCTCTGCCCTCTGTCTTCTGCTAGCTTCTGTGACCGACAGCCTCACACTGGTTGATCCCTACACGCCGATGAAGGGCCTAAACCTTTCGCCTATCCCAACCTGAGCAAAGTTGTTCAAACTGAAAGTCCAAAAACATGTTCATACTCATCTTTTCATTAGAAAACCATAAGCTCACTCCCTATTAATAAACCTTTTAGCAAGTTTTTAAACTCTGTATGAAGTCTTAAAGAAGTCCACAGTAAATAGACAGCATCGGTTTACTAATTACTGCCAACATACTCAGCAGCTGTGTGTATGGAACGTTCCCGCCATCAGGTACTCAAGCTTGATGAAACCACCGGTGAAACTTTAAATACATTCCGATAATTCAGAGTTTAAAAATATAGTAACAGTTACTGTTCGTGGGTTCTACTTCATATATATATATATGTAAGGGGAAAGATGAAGGCATTAGATTCACAGGTTATAGTATCCAAAATTTCAGAGTCAGCAAGATCTAATTTACATTGTTAGGCAGTTGCGCAGATGGAGAGGAAAACCTCTTTGCATGTTTCACCGCATAAACATGGCCCGATTTACTACGCTCAGAATCTGCATGGAGTCTACAGTCTGCTGCTAGTTCCGGCATTTGTCCAGCTTGCTGTGATCAATTTACATGATTTCTGTGTGGTTCAGAGGCTACAGAATTTAGATAAGGAAACTTAGCTAACAGAATTGTAGGTTTTCCCTTACCTTGCTATTAGTGAACAGATTGTCATGAGAGCTCCTGTTTTATTTTTAAAGTATATGCAGTTTTACGTAATATATGGAATAAAATGACATAGATATCAAAATAAAGTAGTCAGAGTAATGACAGAAAGACATTTAATGCAAAGGAATAAACTGGTGCAGTTTTAGGGAGTAGTATCACAGTAGGGGGAATGGTGTCCACTTACCTGTATATCCCAATGTCATAGCAATGATGGACTATAAAATTAGTACTTTAAACAGTCCAGG